CCTCCTTCTCAAGACATCTGCTCTCCACCCAAGCTAGCTCTGTTTGTTAGCCTCAGTTTGCATTAGCACACGAATGGGGTGAGCGTTCTCTAGAATGCAGGCTGACTTTCAGGGACAGAAAAGGGGGGGGCGGCATCTCCCACTGGCTTTCTTTCCTTTGTAATTTCCGAGAACAAAAACCATCCAAACAACGCTCCCCTTTCCCAACACTTGGCAAGGGCTCCAGCGTTTCTTTTCCAAAATACTTTCTCTGCTCAGGCAACACTCCCCACACTCTAGCTGCTAGGCGTGTGCGTGCCCTGAATCCATCAGAGGAGGTCAGGACCGATCCCAAACAGATGCCCAGCTCTGTGTCTGCAGGACTGGTGTCCAAGGATTGGAATGCATACCAGGGACCATGTTCTCTCTTCAACCTGGTGCAGGTATCTCCTTCCCAGGTACTGCCATCTCATCCAAGCTGACTCAGTGCCACCCCCTGGGGTTTCTGAGCCTGGCACTGTGTATGGAAGGAGAAGGCTCAGTCATTTTCCCCAAGGAGCTATTGGTGGCTTCGAACTGCTGACCATGAGGCTTGAAGCCCAGCGAGTGACCACTGCACCACCAGGGCTCACTTGGCATCCCTGTAAGTGGCCATATTTTAGAAACCAGTGCCTGGCGCCGTCTTCATTTCCACACCTGACTGGAGGCAGGCCAAGAATGCAGGAGAACGTGTTAGCTTTGCACACACGCGCTTGCTCCCTGTCTCCCGACACAAACAGCCCATTCAATCCAGGCAGCCTCGCAGAAACAGCCCGCATACAAGAGATCCAGGTCCTTTGTTTCTTAGGGGATTTTTGTCCTAAATAAGAAATACGTGAAATCCAACCCAAATAAACGCTTCCTCCCCCAGATGACCTATCAATTTCAGATGGGAAATGAAAGTCTGAGGCAGGAAGAAGAGAAACAAGGAAACAATGGTGGAGAAGACCAGGCGATATTAAGTCGTCGTGGTAGAAAGTCGGTTTGGGGCATTTCACTTTCACACCACTACACAGACTCGTAAAAATACTCAGAGAGGCAGAAAGAGGGACTCAATGGAGACCTTTATTTTTAATGCGCTCAAGAGCATGTTCATGTTCTGCCTGCCCTGGTTCAGCCTGGGGAGTCTGAGTGTATGGCAGGCCACACACCAATGCCCTGTAAAGAAATGCTAGTCCCATTCAATCAGAGGCCAGACTCGCAGTGGTTCTCAGCCTGTGGGTCACAACCCCTTTGAGCATTGAACGACCCTTTCACAGGGGCCGCCTGATTCATAACAGTAGCAAAATGACAGCGATGAAGTAGCAATGAAGATAATGTTAGGGTTGGGGGGTCACCACCACACGAGCAACTGTATGAAAGGGCCGTGGCATTAGGAAGGTTGAGAACCGCTGGGCTAGAGGATGTCGGCGGCACCCCACTTTCCCTGCCAACAAAGGTATACTTATGCATCAAAACACAGAACTGAATTTCTGAGCTGGTAAGAGTCTAGCTAAGTTTTAGCTCTGCCCCCGACTTTGGCGTAGAAGTAGCTAGAAGCACATTCTGCTGTCCTTCTCCTCTAAGGGGCTCTTCCACTCCCATTCCAGTGGGATCCCGACCAGTTCTCAGCCGCCGTGCCACACGGGTCAACCTCTCGAGACTGCTCGAAAGGATGTCATCATCGGCCAAAGAGGCATCTGGCCAGCTGGAGCCCAGGCACTGCCGGGCAACATGTCACGTCTATCTTAGCGAGCCAGTCTTTCAAATACATCTGAGGGACTTCAACAAGTTCATGGACAAATGGAATGGCAAGATAAATGCCGCCCCCCCCCCCCCAACACACCCAGACCACAAGAACACAAATAAACCAGAACTTAGAATAACAGCAAATTCAATTCCCATGCCTGAGACCAGGGTGGTGGGCCAAGTTTCCCGGGCAGACCAGCCCATCGCAGTCTTGCCACCAGTTTCATTACCCTTAGCTCTGACTCACCTGCCTGCACAACCTCTGTCCCCAGTGCTCCAGTCTTGTGGCCTCTCCCAATAATTTACATTCATTCTGGACTACTAATGCTGTGAGACCAATTCAGTGAGAAAACACCTGCTGCTGTCTTGCCATTCGTACGACACTGTGCTTTTTTGTTTTGCAGCACTTTTGGAAGGTACCCTCACAAGCCTCATTCCAGCGCCTTCCGCTCCACAGATAAACCTCTGTGTTTAGGGCACATGGTGGGAAAACAGATGAGACACGTGCCATGAATCTATCGTCAGGTAATGTTGCCTCGATTGCTATTGCATTTGTCTCTTCACCTTT